AACGCTCCAGCAAGCTGTTAGGGAAAGAGTAATTGTGTTTCATGAAAGGTGTTAGATAAAATCGTCATAATGTCTATAGTTCTCGAACAAAACCCTAGTCAAAGTTGCTAGAGGAATAATTCAGGGTTTGATTCAAACAATTCTTTGCATTCATATTTGAAGATTAACTCTCCGTTAGCACCGGAAAGCATTTGATCATATCCAGCCAAATGGTTTTTTTTTTCTTAATATTTAGCAAGGGGTAAGTAAAATTTTCATTATTAGTCAAGTAGATTTCTGAATAACTCTGTCAAGTATCTACAAGAGGTTTCTAGTTTTAATCATAATATTTGCGTGAATTACAAGCACATGATTGTAAAGGAAAGACTGTCTGTAATAATTGGTGATAGAAACATATGCACAGATCCCAGTAAACTTCTTGTTCATTGCTTCGAATGTGAAAAAAAAACCAGATGAAGTGGAATTGATTATGAAATGTTTAAAACGATCATAATGAAAATAAAATGAAACCTATTTTTACATATTTCAATTTTTAAGTCATACAACTACATTTTTAATGGTGGGCTTTCAATTCAATTTTTAAAATAGAACCTTTTTATGAAAAAAAAATTATCTTTTAAACGTCAAAGAACACTCAAGACAATAAAACAAGAAAGTTAAGATGTAAATAATATATCTATAATATTTGAAATGACTTGTTTGAAAACCCCTCAGTAGTAATACTGGGACAATGACCTACAGAACTAACGGAGGAGTAAAAAAATGTTAAAGTAGTCAAATTGATCATGAATTGTTTTAAAGAACTATATTGAAATTAAAACGAAATCTTTTTTGTATATTTTGAATGTTTGAATATTACAAATTCCTTTTTTTTAATACTGGCATTTTAATTCGATTTTTCAAAATAATTGTTCTATCTAATCTATAAAAATCTGAATTACTACGCAAGAATATATATATATATATATATATATATATATATATATATATGTGTGTGTGTATTATACATATATATATATGAAGAAAAAATATACGGAAAGAACAAACAAAAAATCCTAATATGCAATTATGCTGTATTAATGTTAATATAATGTCAACGTCGGACGTTTCGGTCTAGTAGACCATCTTCAGGACATATTCATTTCAGTTATCTGTTTTGATTAGTCGTTCTCTTAATTATGTTTTATGAATATGTCCTGAAGATGGTCTACTAGACCGGAACGTCCGACGTTGCCATTATATTAACATTAAAACAGCATAATTTCTCATAAGTACCGTACATATATATATATATATATATATATATATATATATATATATATATATATATATATATAAACACTACGGAAGATTGATATTAAGATGATCACGTCGGCGTCACGTCGGCGATGTTGTGAAAACGTATTCCTAAAATAGAGTATTTTGAATGAAAATGAAAAAATTTTATTTTAATCTAAAACTTATATGTACATTTGTCGAGCATTAATCTTGCTAGAAAAAAAAATATTAAAAAGCCGGGTCTTGTATTCACCGTGCGTGTGATTGATATTATGCCTGCCTCATATATATATATATATATATATATATATATATATATATATGGGGAGAGAGAGAGAATACAAATGTAAAATTTGTTACTTAGCTGCTTCATATTTGTGCAATCGTCCTGTCTCCTCATCAGGCGTTATCAACAATTGTCAGTTGATTTCCTCATTTTCGTTACTTTTATAATAGCTTTAAAAAATGCAATTTTTTGTTGGTGTGTGTGTGTATGTGCATGCGCATGCGCGTACGTCCGTATGTGTGCGCATGTGCATATGTATAGGATATGGTGGTTATTTCTTCTTTTCATAATTTTCTCGTCTATTTATACTTTCTCATTATTTCTTTTCTTTCGTTTCTCTATCTTTCGGCGCTGAGTGTCATAGGTTAATGTATGAGTGTTTCTACTTGTGTATGTTTGTATTTGGGTGTGCGTGACTGTGTGCGTGCCTTTCCTATTTGATCCTTATATATATATATATATATATATATATATATATATACAATTCTATGGATATGATATTGCAACTCTGGGTTTCACGCTTTTGATCATCAGACAAACTCTGTCTTTGTCTGATGATCATAAAAACATTGAAACCCAGGGTTACAAACTCATATCCATACAACTGAATATGTTAGCTCTATCAGTGATATTGAGCACTTTCTCATAAGTACCGTACATATATATATATATATATATATATATATATATATATATATAATATATATATATAAATACTACGGAAGATTGATATTAAGATGAAATTATCTAGATATAAATTTTTTTTTTTTTGGAAATTAATTTCCTCATATTTAAATAAAAAGATTACTATATTAAATTCATTTTACTACTATCAAGGCCGCTAACAAGTAGATAAAATATCCGTGAAACTCAGAGTAAGTATAGATAAGTGAACATTTATAAAGACAACTTGTCTTAAATGCGTTTTCAGACATAATTTGGTTACCTGTTTTTTTGTCTGTTTTTTTTATCACAATATATATATATATATATATATATATATATATATATATATATATATATATATATAAATACAGATTGTATAAAATGCGGTCACTAGCTGAAGTTTGAACTTATTCACCACTCTTCCTTAATAAAAAAAATAAACTTATTTATTTTATTTGAGTTGATCTGAGCGCCTACGATTTTTAAAACTGTCTGCGTATGATTTTCGCTTCAGCGGCTGTGTGTTGTTTTAAACAGCATGCATCTTTTTATAGCGGGTCTGCGATCATCAAGATGCAAGCTTGCTTCATTCAAAATCTGATGCACATTTGCCGTATTGGCACAGATTCTGATTGTGGCTCCAAATCTCTGCTACACACTTTTATAGCCTATTTGCTTCATACGGGTCTTTCTTGCGAGGACTACACCCGACGTAAATCTGGGAAAACATCACGTTAAAAGATCTCTTAAAAGAGAACAAAAATAGAAATTATTTCAAAACTGGACAAGGACTTATTGGAATAATGACAAGTATTTACTTTACTGCCATCTATGCAACGATGTACAAAGCTCAAGAGCCACTCAAAGTAGAGGTTTACAGTGTTAAGGTCACCGCCCTAAGCAAGGTGATAATGCTGCCAAAGCACAGGAGGTCTCCTGATGTTAACGAGAAGGAAAATATTTCAGAAGGAACCGGAAACTCAATCCTAAACAAGAAACAAGGAATAAACCTCTTCACATGTTCAAAAGACCGGAGTGGAGTGTAAATCGGTCGATAGGCGAAACTATCTACTCCTAATATAAACACTGGTTTATTTTTTTACCAAAATTGGCTTTACCAATCTGAAGTATCCTGGGTATAACGATAAACTACATCCGGCAGCTAAGCCTGTCATCGGGAGGTTTTGTTGAGCGTGGAACCATCTCTTAACTGCTGTTCCTCCCAGGTCCAACCTGATTCAGGGTGATAGCACCTGTATAGTCAACACCCAAACTGGAGTCAAAACACTATGAAAGTATAAAAATAGATTTTTATCGTAAAAATACCAGCAATACGTTTTTTTGGAAAAAAATACCAACAATACATTATTTCTAAAATACCAACAATACATTTTTGAAAAATAAATATTATCAGCAATACATTTTTGCAAAAGAAATTACTAATTCTCCCAAGAAAATATATATATACTCATTTAAACATTGATTTTATATTTTATCATTTATATTTTATAATTTTAATCTCTCTCTCTCTCTCTCTCTCTCTCTCTCTCTCTCTCTCTCTGTGCATATATATATATATATATATATATATATATATATATATATATATATATATACAGAAAAAACAGTAAGATATATAATCCGGTGTTCTTATAGATATTTTTATTTTTACAAAATAGTGCTTAATGTAAATTTACAGGCATTAATACTTGAGGATGAAATGGAACTAATGTCTTTAATTTAATTACAAAATTAAATTCGGGGCTTTTAGTTTCCATTTTTGAAACATGGATATAACTGTGTAGCGAAAAAACATATTTTAAATCAATTAATTTATAATATATATATATATATATATATATATATATATATATATGTAGGGGCATATAGAAAAAGAAGTATTGCTTTGTTTTCTATATATATATAGCATATTGTTTTAACAGAAAAAAGGATTTACAGCCTCACGTTTTCTTTCTCGCCACTTTAATAATTAGACCCGTGCCTGTCATTTCCTATGTAAAGACCCTTTATACAAAGCGGTAATACAAACAGGGAAAGCCGACATATTAGGGCACAAAGACAAGTGTCATAAAATGCTCGCCTCTGCAAAGACCAAACAAAATAGAATTTTAACTTCAGGCTAAGGGCTTTTTTTTGACAGAGCAATAACATCGGAAGTGAATAAACGGACAAAAAAATTAACAAACGCAAAATAATATTTGTTATCAGAAACATCGGACGTTTGAAAACACGAGACACACGAAGAAAATGTCAATCGATCATCGCGCGATACAGTTTTAAAAATGTCAAAAAATATTATGATTGCGAATGAAAGGTTAAATGGTGCTAAGTTATTGTAAGACAATAAAGACTGATTTTAAGATAGACGCACAGAATGACCTGAAAATCGTTTTAATCCCACATTAACTTACGCTATACAAAGCTTAGGTTTTGTCGAAAGATTTCATTATGCTACGCTGTTGTTACGAACACATACACATACGTATAGAGGTATATACTTTGTTCCTTGAGGATCGTGTTTCCGATCCCTAGTAAAATCTTTTCATTCTCTTTCATTGCCAGTAGTTCTTTGCGTCTGTCATTGCTTGTAGCGAATGTTAAATTTGTTAAATTTGTTATTCATGAAATTGGGATTTTGTCCACATTTGGGATAAAAGGCTGGGTTTTTATGCACTCTGTTTTGCCCACTGGGTTTTTGTACACTGTTTTGTTTGTTGTTGTTGTTTTTTTTTGTTTTTTTTTGTTTTTGCTATGTATTAGATAGATAGATAGATAGATAGATAGATAGATAGATAGATAGATAGATAGATTCCTTAAAATAGATATGAACGGACTGATGAAGAAAAGACTTAGACAAAGAAGATGTTTATGTACAGATGAAAACTGATAGACAAGTATATAGCTAGACAGGGAGACGTGAAGAGTGTTACATAGATAGATAGATAGATAGATAGATAGATAGATAGATAGATAGATAGATAGATAGGAAGCGATTAGATATGAACAGACGAATCTAGAAAAGACTTAGACAAACGAAGATCCTTATGCACAGATGGAAGCTCATCGTCAAGCTGATAGATAGATACAGACACACACACACACTATATATATATATATATATATATATATATATGGGAAAAATGTATGACAAAGTACGCATGTAGTCACACGAAAACTTTTTTCTACTTTGTCATATATTCCCCGCCCCCATATTGTTCTTCATATATAAAAAATGTATATATCATTATCTCATAAAATGTGTATATATATATACATACATACATACACACACACACACATATATATATATATATATACATATATATATATATATATATATATATATATATATATATATATATATATATATATATATATGCATACATATATATATATATATATATATATAGAGAGAAATAGGAACAGTACGACATAGATAGATAGATAGATAGATAGATAGATAGATAGATAGATAGATAGATAGATAGATGTTCTTACAAATTTCTTCATAAGCAAATGTTAAAGAAATAAAACAAGTCTGTTTCGCAAAAGAAGAAATATGTGTTGTCAAAATATATGAGTGTTAAACTTTAGCACTAAGTGTTATTATTCCCTATGGAGGCCTGGTTGAGATAGGGGGGTGGTTAGGCGGCCAACGGGGTTTGATTTGAGGAGTTTGACAGGCTGAACATAACACACGTTGTAGACAATAAGGGCAAGAGGCTGTCAAAACCCCAATTCATAACATAAGTATAATTAAGGCCGGCATACGGAAGCCAGAAGCCAGTCTTTGTGATTATCTTGGCCAGTTGACATTAACAATACAAACAATCTATGATTTTGCGGGCGACAAGTGGTCCTACTTTCGATGTAAAGCCAGGGCGGGGACGCGATGTCAATTGGCTGATGTCAATGTTTCGGTTAAAAGCTGAGAAAAATTATACGAGACAAATAAAAAAGATATAAAATGACGCATGCCACAAGTCATAAAACCTTCCCCTAATATTTTTATTTCATGTTATTTATTTCTACTATTATAGTTTGTATTCGTCAAGCGACACGGTCTGGACTTATTTTAAAAATGACAAGTGTACAAAAGAACATTTCGAACACAATTCAGAAAAAAAAAAAACAAATGAAAGTTGTTCAGATACACAACTTTCAGGTGATTACAAAGATATATAAAAATTTTCAAAATGAGTGTTAAAAAATCAGGGCTGGTGTGTACTACCCCAGAAGCCCCTGACCATGGTGGTCTCAAACCTGACTGGGTGCTTTGTGACCTTCGCTATCTTATCTACATTTATTATTTTATTTTATTTTTTTTAAGCATTACGCCCTGAGCAAGGCGTGAAGCCACTAGGATGCAGGGGGTTGCAGAAGATTTGGAGCAAGAGCAGATAGGAGTGATAGAAGAAAGGATGAGGAGAAGGATAGTGGGTAGATCAAGGTAACTGGAGATGTCGATTGACATTACATTTAAATAGTTGGAGATTATAGCTCTCAGGGAAAGTGGAATAGGGAAGGGTTGTTCTATAGGCGAGAGGTGCGATGTATGAAGCTATTGGAGTAGAAGAGACGGCTACATTTAAAAGGTTCTACAGTGTAAGGGTGGGAGCGGAATGCCAGCCTCGTAGGGCGCTTGAATTCATGGGAACCAGTGAAAGCAGCTCATCGGAGCAATTACCATGAAAGTATTTGCAGAAAAGACAGAGAGAGACGACGGCGCGTCTGTGAGAGAGTGACTGTAGACGAGATGCCAGAGCAGGGCCAATTATATTACATATCCGTCTCTGGATCTTGTCAAGAACTCCGAGGTAAACAGAAGGTGCCCCAGACCATATATATATGTTACAAATTAAACTAAGCGCAATTGACTATTAATAGATGAGGCTTTTTTCAAATCTGTGAATTTGTTTTGCTTATGCTAAATCTAAAAAAAAAAAGAAACACTATAAAAATTTATTATTTTTATCCATAATTTTGAATGTGTTAAAATTCTCCAACTTTTAACAAGAAAAGTCTCAAGCTGATGTTATCAGTTATCTCCTGCTAATTTCCCTCTGAAAGTTCTCCACTGCCTTAACCGGGTATTGAACTCACACACTTTGGATCTAACCAACACCTTTATCCACTGTGCCATGTGTATGAATTTCGGGATATTATGAACCTAATGTCTTCAGCCACCCTTTCTACCAGTGCTCATATTGCAATTTTTGCTGTTATCATTTCATATTTTTACCAGAGCTCATATTGCAACTTTGATAGCTGACATCCATCAAACATGGCACGTGGAACTAGAACAGTCTACCCCAGTGAGCGAAATAAAGGGTTCAGTTCGAAATCCCAACCAACTGAAGAAGACCGGAGCGTACAACGGCCGAAACGTTGTGATAAATATGGCGACAAAGATGAGGACAATAGTCCGAATAATGTAAATAATGTACATAATAACTCATCTCAGAAATATAGACAGATTATAATATATATATATATATATATATATATATATATATATAGGTACGACAAAATCGCACATTATAGAGTTAATTTATTAAAAGCATAATTACACATGGAACTTTTCTTTACTAGTTTTTTAATTGTTATACGTGCTGTTCAAAATGTCTTCCTTCTTTTACAAAACACATTTCTCTTCTGTGCCTGCCTGATTCATTAACACATCAGAGAGTTTCCGCTGTCATTTTACTGCATTCATATTTAATTCTTCCTTTAATTTTCTCAATATTTTCGGGTACGCCTGACAAACAACTGATTTCAAATGTATCCGCAGAAAAAAAAATCTAAGGGGTCACTCAACAGGACCTGTCAATAGCAATTTAAAACATGATTAATTAATTACGAGACTTGTGCCTCACCCTGTATAATAAATTGATAAAATTTCGAAATTTGACATTGAAATTTGAATTAAAAGTTTATTGAATTTTATATGTTAAATTAGTTTCTTTTTATATATGAGACTTTTATTTATGAGATTGGGATTTTTCTTACTTTTGGGATAAGAGGCTAGTTTTTTGGCATGGCTTAGATCGATAGATAGATAGATAGATAGATAGATAGATAGATAGATATGAGCAAACAACGAATAGACTGAGAAAATAGATAGATAGATAGATAGATAGATAGATAGATAGATAAATAGATAGATAGATAGATAGATAGATAGATAGATGTGAGCAAACAAAGAATAGACTGAGAAAAGACATGAGATTGGGATTTTGCTTACTTTTGGGATAAGAGGCTAGTTTTTTGCCTGCTGGGGTTTTGTCATGGATTAGATAGATAGATAGATAGATAGATAGATAGATAGATAGATAGATGTTCCCATGGATTTTTGCTACACAGAATTGGCAGTTAGCCCTCACAACACAGATGTTCGTTTCAGTTTCATACAAATTGCCTCTGCGTGTGTGCTACCCAGTCTTCACTTTCTACTCTCGATAGAATCTCACAGACAAAATATCGCAAGCCTCGCCTTCAACTAGTCATTAAACTTAACGATTAAGACCCACCATGCCACACCCATTCCCTTCGTATACCTTTGTTGAGATGTAAGTTCGAACTTCATACCACAAACTTCTGCTTTAAGGAACCGATTCCAGTTGTTCATTACGTTCACTAACGTGCTGATGCTCTTAAGAAAGGTGTGAATCCAACTCCTCTTGAGAAACATTCTAAGAAAAGGAGAACTCTGGATTTCAAACCAGCATGGAAAGGATTGTGCTCCGTCAGGCTAGCTTGCCCGGGAAACACCACTGCTATTCCTGCAGTACACGTGGTGCTCCTATGATCTCAATGGGTGACGGGACTCGTGATCGTCATCTTGATCGATCTATTGTGCAATCTATGATTTAAAATAAGTAATTTGGTAAATCAGTCAGAAACTATATATATATGGCAGTCTTGGGTGGCGAACGGTCTTGGAGAAGGACAACTCTGAATACAAAACCTGCGGCTCTTCCAAAATGTACGGTTGGTTCTACACAAGTCTTCACGATGTATATATATATATATATATATATATATATATATATATATATGTGTGTGTGTGTGTGTGTGTGTGTGTGTGTGAAAAATATATAGAAAATAGGAAAGAACTCATTAGGTAAATAATCCAAAGTTCTTTAATATTTTTGTTATTATTTTTAAAAAATAGTGCTCGATACAAAAGTAGAGCATAAATATAATTATTTATTTAAAAATATGATTCCAACACGCTACATAAGAGTTCTCATGTTTCAAAACAAGAGCCGAAAACTTCAATATAATTATTTGAATTAAATTGAATTAAAGTACTAAGCTCTGTTTCATCTTCATGCGAATTTTTTTTTTAAATAACTTATTTCTGAAATTTACGTGTTTTATAAGCATATTCATTATTGAAATCAAAATTTCTATGGTAACGGCTAGAGCAATTGTTTAAAGAAAATAAAAAATTATATATATATATATATATATATATATATATATATATATAGATAGATAGATAGATAGATAGATGTTCTTACAAATTCTCTCATAAACAAATGTTAAAGAAATAAAACAAGTCTGTTTCGCAAAAGAAGAAATATGTGTTGTCAAAATATATTAGCTCTGTGTTTTGGTTCTAAGAACTGAGTTGCTTCTCCCTCACGTCGAGAGTATCCAGTATATATATATATATATATATATATATATATGTGTGTGTGTGTGTGTGTGTGTGTGTGTGTGTTTCATTAAATAATATAGACAAGTGTTGCCTATTTATTTTATGTAAATTCTTTTCATATCGTCTAACTATACTTAAACATGAAAACAATAAGCAAAAGCTAAAATTTCTTGAAGCTATATACATAAAATAGTTGAAATCTAACCTGAACAAAATAAACTATGAAATCTCCACAAATATACTGAAATGCCTATAGTTGGTAACAGAAGCCATTGGTTTATACCAACGGCTTCCCATACTTAATACTTCTCGAATTCACTCTCGCGTGGTCATGTGTGACGTCATGAGCTGCGGTGCGATTTTTGTTTCCAGCGTCTTATATACATGTGTTTATCGTTGCTTGGAAATCATCCATGTAAACAATAACAGACTATCATTACTGTCTTGTCCATGTATTGCTTAATATATTGTACAGTAATTGACATCTTTGATAATGGCTTATGTAAGCCGAAAGCAATATGTATCAATATTGTGATTTTCTTTCTTCGTTTAATGATAATGTTATTAAGCTTATCAGACGATATGAAAAGAACTTACATAAAATAAATAGACAACACTTGTTTATATTATTTAATGAAAGCTGTATCAATGAAAAAATGCTGCCTAAATACACACACACAATATATATATATATATATATATATATATATAATGTGTGTGTGTGTGTGTGTGTGTGTAAGCAAATATATGGATATAGATCCGACAGTATGAAGAAAAATATACTGAAAAAACAAACAAAAATCCTAATATGCTGTTTTAATGTTTAATGTCAACGTCGGACGTTTCGGTCTAATCGTCCATCTTCAGGACATATTCATAAAACATAATTAACGTAGACCATATACAATTCAACATGAAAAAGACGATGGACATAAAAGCAATACCAATTCAAACAGAATATGTCCTGAAGATGGTCTATTAGACCGAAACGTCCGACATTGACATTAAACATTAAAACAACATAATCGCATATTAGGATTTTTGTTTGTTTTTTCAGTATATTTTTCTTCATATATATATATATATATATATAAATTATACTACTAGTAATACTCGGTTGCATATCTATCTTTATTGACCCCATCTTAAAATGAGAAATACTATAAAATGACATAAGTATAAAGCATAAGACAAATATTGCTTATTATGTATGGAGGAAAAATTAGCAAGAGCCACCTCCGGTGAATTTATTAAATCAAAGAACTGAGATTTTAAATAAGTGTAGGCATAGGGAATCCTGAATATTGGAACAGAGGATCTATTTTTTTCTTCTCTATCTTTTTCTGTCACGAGGTTTTATGCTAATTAGTTTTCAGTGGTTTAATCAATAATTACTGTTTCATGTCATTTTCGCTTTAGCCAGCTTACCCTGAAGATCCGTTTAGGTAGGTTGTTACTGGCTTTTTAGGATTTATTTCACTTATTTATAGCTGTGTTAGCACGAAGTCACAAGTCATCGTGACCGAGGGTTTGAGTATGCTGGCCTTGTTCACATTGCTGATCACGCTAGATAACACGATCTCTCCCACAAACTGTAACTAAGGTCTGTGGGTGCTCAACAAACACAAATGTGCATAAGCCATCGTCTGCAATTTGGATTGGCTAACCGACCTAATAGACGGGTATCCTCAAATACGAGTGGCTAGCTATTATATATATATATATATATATATGTTAAGAAATGGACGAGGTCCGACAATTTATTTATTAAAGACACGTCAGCGTATATGACGGTTCCGTATAGGATGCAGGTTCGAATCCTGTCTATGAACGAATATTTTCTATGAAAATTTCTCGGACATTCAGGCCGGTAAATGTTATTTAATACTGTTTATCATAAACAGAGCATTTGCTTAAATACTTGTATCTATAAAATAACAACGTTAAACATAAATAAAAAATGTCTTTAATATATATATATATATATATATATATATATATATATATATAAAATTTTATCATATAAACAAAAACAGTTTTTGTCTATATGATAAAACTAGCAGCATGGCCCGGCGTTGCCCGTGCTTGATTCAAAAATCGTACGATTCATTCAGCCATCGCTATCACTTGATTTAAAATATTTTTTGCTCTTCCTTGCCTTTAAAGAAGTGCCCTTTGCCGTGCTGATGTTGCTACATCCCTTACTTCTTGCCTATCTCACACTGCGAATTTTTTCTAAGCTCTATACTAAACATTAAATCTGTTACTAAAAAGAACTAAACAAAATGATCACAAAACGGTCAGCTTTAAAAAAGGACTTGTAACTGGAAAAACCGAATGAAAAAAGAATGTTAACAACAAATACTTTTTCACACCCAACCCAGTTCTGTGGAATCAGAATCAACATTGAGTTTAAGCAAGCGAATAAGCCAATTGAAGTAAAGATTTAAATTTTTCCCACTTGTGACGAATGCAGCAATCGATTTTTTTGTATGCTAGCATGCTAATTAACATTCGTGTCAGTCAGCTGTTGGCTCTAACGCTGGCCAGTAGAAAATGGCCGCAAACTACATGAAAAGTGCCATAGAAGCATGAAAAAAATCGATTATTTCCACTATCGATGGGAGTTGGGAAATGCAAAGTCGGTCTTGGCCTTCCCGCTAACTTGGAGCATGTGCATGTAAATTTTGGTGCAAATCCGTCGAAAATTGCGGCCGTGCATTCGTTAATTTTGTGAACATAGAATTTATATATTACTTTCGTTCTCATTACATTGAATATATATATATATATATATATATATATATATATATATATAATGTACTTATAAAGAACAAGTAGAAAACAGATCTCAATGCAACATGTTTCATTTTATTAAAGCTTCGTCAGCGATCAAGACAGAAAAAAATATCCTATCATTTTGTCAGATTCCCATCAATACTTGATCTGTACTTAGATATATTTATATACTTACAGAAAAAGCATTATTCACATACACACGCGCGCACGCGCACACAAACGGACTCACACACAAACATACACGTTTGTGTGTGTGTAAATTAGTGCTATTTTTAAAAAATGTGCCTATTATATAACACAGGTGTTGACTAACAGGATGGATGTTTTAGAAACAAAGAATATAGACGCCGACGAGACTTTAATGAAATCAGAAAGGCGGGGTTATTTTTTATGCTGGCGATCTCAGTGGAAGACACTCCTATGAAGTTTCTTCTATGACTAATTGAATAAGTTGACTCCATTATAATATCTGCTTGATTTCGGTGGTTAAGAAGGCGGGCAAATAGCAACGTCATCATTTAATTCCTGGATCTTATCGAGGGTAATTTTGATATGACGACGCTTCGATAACTCGAAGCCTGATTGTGAAATAATGAAGCATTTATTGATTATCGAACTCATTTTTGTGATACAATCTTTCTATCCGTCGCTCCACGACCATATTAAGTTGAAACACCGGTTCCCGTCCAATCACCAAAGTTAAGCAACCTGGAGCCTGGCCAATATCTAGATGGGTGACCGCTTGGAATACCAGATGCTTTAAGCTTAGATGTTTAATGGATAATGGCTCGGAATTATTAATCAAAGAGCCGATTCCCAAATCCAGTTAGGTTCACTTATTCACAGTTACCCTCGGGAAAGGCATGAATCCACTTCTTCCGCCAGCTATGCTTTTATTGGTAAGACTTGTACCACTACATCATTATTATCTAAAAGACAGAAAGCCTTACAATCTAAAAATATTTTATGGTTTTAAATAACTTATAAGAGGTTGGTAAACCATAAAAACAAAGCTATCAAAAAAAATCAATCAATCTATTCTAGAGACCCCATGAAAAGATACACCTTTATTTTAATAAGCAATTTAAGATTCTGATCCGTATTCGAGTCGCTGGGTGTACAGATGGTGTAATTGTTTAAAGACTCGGATCGAGAAATCGGCAAGTCGAGTTCGAATTTCAGTCAACAACCTTATATCCACTGTCGTACAAATGCCCTTGGGAAAGGTATGAATCCATCTATTCCCCCTTCAGCTATGGATTAAATAACATGATAGAGTAAACTCCCTAGCCGTGGTTGGCAACAAGTATAGGAGAAGGACAACTCCGAATTCAAAAACGTATATGAATCTAGTTGGACAGATACTTGAACTGAAACTACAGTCCGCTCAGCATAATTACAGTATAAATCACAGGTTGATAGTGAATGTTAAAGAAACACAGATGGACCTGTGTAGATGGGTATGCTTGGAAATAAGCAGTCGTACTGAATTTGATAAGTCATACTGATTTTTAGTGTGCCTACAAGTTGAAACAATTCAGTGATGAAAGTTTTAGTTGCTTCAATTTTACACGACGTTCAAGTTGAATAAATGAATGCTTATATTTTATGTGCTTGGGTTTAGTAATGTGTTTCCTGTGTTAAAAAGGTCTCTTGAGTCAGCAGGATTCAGCTTTACTGAGCTCATTTAGTATGAGGTTGAAGTTGAGATTCAAATTCTGGATGAGCGGTCAACAAATCTAGAAGAATTACGTGAGGTTATAATAACAAAATGGTTCCAAATGAAATCCAAGGCTATTTTCATGCTGAACGAAATCGTCATGCGGCCTGACGATTGCGTCTAGCATGAAAACAGCCTGTCGCCTCTGAGTATTGACTTCAATGTTCACTTTTATATTTATATTTACATACGCTCTATCTCTGATATTAAGCACTTTATCCCATAAATATAACACACCTTAAAACTACATTTCTTCATATATATATATATATATATATATATGTAATTTTGATTGTAGGTGCAGTTCAATTTATAATTAAATGAACCATTCATACAAAAACAAATATAGAGGTTAATGATTTAAATGGCGAGAATACATCTTCGCAAACAATTTCAATAAGGTACACTAACCCCGAACCTGTATATGAATGATCTGATCCCTTTTTATAAATTCCAGTTTCATAAGGTCCTTTTAGTTTTTACAAGCTTTCGTCTGTTCCTACAGACATCCTCAGGTATTGGTAATAAGAGGACAACGAAAATATAATCCAAAATGTAATCCAAAAAAAATGCTATGAGAAATGTATTATTGTTTTGGAACGTGCGGTCGCAACGCTGAGTTTGAATTTTAAATTTTCAGGTTGTGCGTTTTTGTACAACTTTTGTATCTACCAGTACAAAAGAATTCTCTTATTACTATATTATCAAGATTTTACAGGTCATTTAAAGCCAGAAAATATATTAGATTGTAAGTGTTTTGGGGCAGAGTTAATAATGGTTTAGTGATATAAGTCTTACTAATTAACCCATAGTTGGTGGGAGGAGAGATGGATTCATACCTTTCCCAAGGATATTTGCGCCTAAGGGAATAAAATGGACCTAACAGGAAGTGTAACTCGGCTCACCGATTAACAATCCCGACCCAATGTCTATTACACAACCCATACATCCAAATTGGTATTCTCAAGCGGTCACCCATCGAGGTACTGACCAGGCTCGTCGAAGATTGTGTGTTTATAAACATTAATTTTGACTTTGTTAACCAGAAGCGTCTCTGTAGCTGAATGGTACAGCACGTCAGGTCAAATGATGGTTTCCGTATAGGAAACAGGTTCGATTCATCGCGGAGTACGAATATTTTCTACAAAATTTTTCGAATATTTAGGTTGGTAAATACTTTTTAATTAAAAACAGAGCATTTATTTAAATAAATTGTATCTATAAAAATAACGTATAAACAGAAAATGTATTAAATAATTGTTGGACTAAATCCATTTCTTCACACACACACACACACACACACATATACATATATATATATATATATATATATGTGTGTGTGTGTGTGTGTGTGTGTGTGTATGTATATTAAGGCATTGCTTTACAACTGAATTGAGGTCTCAGAGCCACTGGTGTAATTCGTATAGAAAAACGTGAAAATTTTCCGTTTCTCTCTTCCGTGCGACGATAGCCTAGAAGGTAGGATCTCTGACTGATGCCAAATCGCTCGAGTTTTGAACCCGGCTTGAAGCAATCGGACGTCCTAGCCACACTGAAGAGCTGTGATACAGCTAAATAATCTGTTTGTGGATGACTATATATATATATATATATATATATATATATATATATATATATATATATATAAATAAATGGCAAAAAAAAAAACGTATCATAACCGATGCGTTTTGCCCTCTGATGAACTTTATCAAGGCAAATATAGGATTTTATTTTTGTTGCAAGTATTTATAAACAAAAGTAAAAAAAGTGTTACTTTTGCAAAAAAATTTAATTTAAGAGACACTGATAAATATTCATCAGGTTAACTCAACAGTCTAGGTAAACTATGGTGGATGCTAAGTAACATAATTTAATGTCTAATAAACGTGTGTGGGTAAATGATGTTGAATATTTTTTTATGTATTTACATTGTTCGGACTGTTATCCTCATTTTCGTCGCCTAGTGCCACATTTTTGTATTTTTATACATAAGAAATATTGTTGTCTTAATCTTCGCTGTCCTATTCACGACGTTTCGGCTGTTGTACGCCCCGGCTTTCTTCAGGTGATTGGAATTTCGAACTGAACCCTTTATTTTTGCCCACCCTGGTAGATTGTTCTAGATCTACGCGCCATGCCTCTTCTGGATATGTCAGTATCAGTTACCTTCTTTTAACTCACTATCCACATTTTTGTTAACCTCAGCCAAGTATTGAACTCAAAACTGTTACAGGATTCAGTCAACGATTTTATCTACTGGAACATCAGTGTATGGATTTTTGAGACTGATAAACCGAATGTCTAGGTAACCATTTTTACCAGAGCTCATATTACAATTTTGTTGTTATTGTTTTTCTCTGGCACTCCGTATTACTGGTTCCTATATTGTATTCATTTCTATGCTCGGCCAGCTGAGAAGATTTTTTTTTTAGCCCTAGCATATATTAGTCCACAAAAATATATGGGAAATATACTCTATATTTGGTCGTAATCATCTGAGATGCCAATTTAAATAATTGACGATCAATGATTTAGTATTATTTTTGTTGGCGTTTCTCCTTTTCGTACAACAAAGATGGCGTATGACTGAATCTATTGAGTGTCATCCAATTATTTGTAAATGAGCGGTTTCATCAATACTGTTGAACATTAATTAGATTAGAATCCAATTTGTTATATATTTTAAAAATAAACTCGGCACTGACATTTTACGGATTCTGGTAACGTTACGCACGTCGCGACATGCAACCGGGATTTTTACTGGCTTAAATGTATCGTTAAATGCATTTAAATTTCCTCTTCCCGAATGCTGTGATCTTCAAGAAAACGTGGTGCCGCAAAAATCTGGAGAACTTTTATGTTCCTTGGACCCAGATATTTACTTTCTTTTACATAGAAAGTAGAAGTACGAGCTCGTAGACTGACAAATTAGCTTAGTATTCTTTATAAATACATGTGAAATTAACACACAAAAAAACACACGCGCACATACACGTGTATGTGTGTGTGTTAATTTCACATAGCTGTATTTACACAAATTTTTTGCTGATTTCACAGACACGCACATGCTCACACACACATACACACACATACATTCTTTTCTGGACAGAAAGTCAGTAAGAATAGATCGTAAATCGCAAATTAATTTTAAAATAATATATATATATATATATATATATATATATATATATATATATATATATATATATATATATATATATATATATATATGTATCATTTCTCAAATGAGACGAAAAAATGAAAACTGAAGTGGGACTTTGATAAAACTATTGTAAATTTGCCGCTTAACTTCATATATATATATATATATATATATATATATATATATATATATATACACAAACACCTAACACACGCACATACATATGCAGAGGTTCCGCAACCTCTACAATAAATACCTCGCTGCTTCTTGCTTTCCACCTTGTTGGGAATCTTTCCCTGTAGTTCCTGTCTTTAAGAACCCTGGCGAACGTTCTGATTCCTCGAATTATCGCCCTATTAATCTCTTACCGAGGCTCTAAGCATCTCACTTCACACGACTTTCCTTCGGATAAAGAGTATGGCTTTCGTTTCTCCAGATCTATCGCCGATGTGTTAACAGTTATTAGTGAATTTGTATATCAGGCTTTAGATAAGAACAGCAAGAGTGCGGCTTTAGATATATCGTAGGCATTCGACAGCATTTGGTATGCTTGCCTTTTCCATATGCTCAGCAGCTAGGATGTCTCTGGACAAACATTTGGTTTAATCCAATCGTTCTTGATAAATCGTGTAATGAATTACGCGTTGAACGGATATGTTTCTAGATCATTTCACATCAATCCGGGGATCTATCCAGGCTCTACCATTGAACTGACACTGTATTTTTATCTTCATCTACGCCCTACCCAATATCATCAATTTCCAACTAATGCTGATGACACAACTATTTAATCCTGTCTTAGTAGCAATTCCGTCAGATACGTCAAATCTGCTCTTGAAAATGACCTCCAATCAGTGTTTAACTGGGGTAAGGAAT